TACGGCCCGGCACCCCTGCAAAAGGACCCTAGAAGAAAACCCTAATTGTCTGACTACCCATTTGCGAGTCAATTGCTTGACCGGAAGGGCCGGACAAGGTCCAGAAAGCTAGGGCCTGCTGATTGCACCGGAGGATGCTGGAGAGGGAGGCAACACTGGATCCTTCCACAGGAAAGTGCTGCTTTAGTGCGCAGGGGCCGAGGGATCAATGCTGCTGGGGATGCGCTCAGATGGTATCAATATGACTTCTTGGGCGTGAGGGAGAGTGTTGTCTGTGGTGCACGTTCCCTTCTGCCTCTCATTGAGTCGCATCGATGCCATCATACATAATAGCATCATCATCATCATCATTCATTCATTCACTCACTCATTCATTCACTCATTCATTCATTCATTCATTCATTCATTCACTCATTAATTCATTCATTCGCTCCCTCACTCATTCATTCATTTATTCATTCATTCATTCATTCATTCATTAATCATGGTCATAGTCCCCAGAAGTGGCGCCATCTGCGCTGCACACGCTCCTTTTCTTGTTTCTCGTGCTCGCCCGCCTCCATCTCTGTCTCTCTATCTCTCTCTCTCTCTGCCTCTGCCTCTGCCTCTGCCTCTGTCCCTGTCCCTGTCCCTGTCTCTCTCTCTCTCGCTCTCTCGCGCCCTTGCTCGCGGCATCTCCTCGCGCTCTCGCTTTCGTTGCCCCAGCTCTTCCAGTCTGCTTCTTCCAGCGTTGCTCTCCTTTCGGCGGTTTTTTTTGCGTGACTGGGGCTCCGAACCGCAACCCACCAGCTTGGGTTCGGCATGGCACCAGCACACAAGGGAACCTCATCCGAAGCAAACGGTGCGAACTCGAACTGAACCGTCCTTCCTGATTCTGGATATCTGGGCATCCCCGAAATTGAAGTCCGCGTAGCATCACAACCAGAACCTCCAAGATGAATTAGAAACAGCTTCTTTTGACTGGCACCCGCAAGCCCTTGGCTTGGACCCTGAGGCTAGCGAAGAACAGCGATGAGAGCTCAAGGATAGAGCTGGAGTTCGTCCAGAAGGACGCTTGGCCTTCGCAACAGCCACGTGCATTCACCCCGAAGCCGCGAAGAATTTCCGCGATTGAGCAGTAGCTGGGAAATGCCCTGCACACCATTGAGGCATCGAGGCTTTCAGTCTCAATCACAAATTTACAGCATGAGGTGACGGGGGATCTCAAAGATCCCGCTGTGCGTGTACCCTGTGCAAAAAAGCCCCAGGTCATGAACCCTCGAGTCTTAAGTCACTGTGCTCAGGAAGCCGGCAGCAGCTCGTATCTGGTGAAGACAGGCCGGCACAAATTCGAAGAGGCTTTGGCCATTGCTCACAATTGCCATACTCAGCTCTTTGGGCCCGGAGACCCTGCAAGCAGATGTGCATGCGTAGATGTGTAGTGGGCAGAGGCTTTTGAGGGCTTATGAAGCCATAATATGCGCGGTCCCACAAATCCCACACCTCAACACGCCAAGGCCCATAGAAGCCCCCTTGGATCTCGGCTTGGCTACGGAGCTGATCTCTTCGGGACCCTCTGCTACACCCTAAGCCCTAAACTCTATAACCCCATATAAACCCTAAACCCAAACCCCAAACCCTAAACCCTAAACCGCAACCCTCTGCATGGGCCCCCCCTTGAGGTGAAGGCAAGTATCTGTCGAAGCACTTCGACTTGAAGGTGACATCCGTCTCCAGCGACGCGCCGGACTGGGGGACATGGGCGCGTGTCGCTTCGTAAACCTGAACCCTAACCAGGGAGCAGGGCCGGGAGGCGAAAGGGGGTGTTGGGTTTAGGGTTTAGGGTTTAGGGTTTAGGGTTTAGGGTTTAGGGTTTAGGGTTTAGGGTTTAGGGATTAGGGCCTGAGGTGTGAGGCTGTTCAGTTCCAGGCTTAAGTTTATCGCGTTTGGCCCTGGACTTTCATGGATGCTCCCCAGAGTCTATTGTCTCAAGATTGTGGGAGGGCTTTCATTCAAATTTTCGGAGGCGCGGCGGGGGCAATCACTAGTTAGCTACATGCTAGGTAGCCCCTTAACAATTGGGACATTGCATATCTGCCCTTATTGGGTTTAAGAGGGTCCGATTTAGGAAAATTCTTCAGAGGGCTTTAAGAGCCATCCTAGTAGAGTTCCCCGTTTCCCTGGCAGGAAAAGAGGATGGAATGCAAGTTCTACCGGCAAGTGGAGAGCAGCTCAGCTTCCATCGGGAGGCTTTTCCCGTGCAGGCTTTGAGGCTGTGCTAGCGGACCTACAAACCCGAACCCCGAAACAACCCCTAAACCCCTAAACCCCCCTAAACCCCTAAACCCTAAAACCCCGAAAGCCCTAAAACCCTATTCAACCCCTCAGTCCCTAACCCCCACAGCTCTTTGGCTTCAAGACCTGGACCTTAAACCCTAAAGGTTGCGATGTTCCCCCTTACTATTATCGGGGATTATTGTAGGGGATACGATGGTCCCTATGAAGGACTGTTAGCATAAGGGGGAACATCCCAACCTAAAAGGCCCTAAACCCTAAATCCCGTTGGCCCCCCCCCCCCCTTTCCCTTCTCTCTGCCGAAGGCAAGACTCCGGAGTGTGACTTGGAACTAGGCGCCGGGCCCCGGGAGGTCTGGAAACTCTAGGAGCTGAGGTCCAATGTTGAGGTCTGACAGGTTCGGCACTCCAAGGGCCGTGCGAGGGTTTTTTTTGGTCAACGCTTAAGTGGGGTTCGGGCTCCTTGCAACCGATGTGGAGGTTCAGGTGGTGCGCTTGAATACATGACAAACATGTCTAGGCAGCTCATGCAAAGGCTTGATGGCTCCAAGCCTGCTAGAACCCTCCGTAATTCTTTGGCCGGCGATGGTCAAAAGAGGGCGGTAAGGCACGACTCAAACTCCCTAAGCGCCCCACACCCTACAAACCCTCTAAGAGCCCTACACGCCGTCTAAGAACCCTACAAGTCCTCTAAACCCCCTGCAAAACCCTTAAAAAACCCCACAAACCCAAGTGACTTGAGAGGCACCCCCTACTACATCAACGCAGAGAATGCAGAAAAGCCCACGTCTTGGTGGAGCCACAAGGATGACCACGTCACTCTCAGCCGCCCCCCGAAAATCCGGCTCTTTTCGGGAGGTTTCGGGTTGTGTTTAAAGTTCAGGGCTTTGGGAAGTTGAGGGTTCTTATTTTAGGATCTATACATTATGTGTTTTATGAAGGGTTTAGGGAAGTTTAGGTTTTCAATTTCAGGATCGATGTCATACATCGGGATTTTACGGGGTTTTCTTTAGGGTTCTTGTTGTGTTTAGGGAGGTTTTAGGGAGGTTTAGGGTTTTTGGATCGATATAAGACATTTGGAATTTGGAGGGAAACGAGATCGGCTTGAGCTCCTCTTTGCCTCTTTTGCGTTTTTTTTTGTTGGGGGGGGGGGGGGGTCTCGTGGTGAGAGTGGTCTCCCAGGATGCGTGGGGCATAGGGGAGCGCGCTCCGTCAGGGGGGTCTAGGGTTTAGGGTTTAGCAATCGCAGCTGAGGAAGCAGCCACTATGCACAGCCCTTCCACCTTGAGAAGGCTTAAAAGATCTGAGAAGCAAAGCGCGCGGTGCATGTGATTTAGGCTTCTGTCGCAGAGCCCTCTTCCGATGATCGGGTGATGACACGTATCAAGGGACTTCAGGGGTTATTTAGCGGTACTTAGGGGCTACTTAGCTATTTTGGGACCATATAGGGGGTCCCTCCCTTATACCGCTTCTACCCCTTAAACATAAGGATGCCGAGCGGCTGTTGAGCAGCACCCCAAAAAAGGACCAAGGCCCAAATTACCACTGAGGCCTCCGAGGGTGGCCCCTCCCTTTCATGCCCATTGAAGACTATAGGGGATTCTATTCTATTTGGGGGATAAGCGGGTTACCCCTAGTTCGGGAAATGCCCACGTAGAGGTTCCGGACGTCAAGATGACAAATTCTTCAACTGCTCTTGGCATCAACAATCTCATTCCACAGCAGCAGAGTCCTTGCGCGCCGTAGACAGGGGTACAGAAGACGACTTGACTTGAACGCTTGGTGATCAACGAGGAACCCGAAACCTGAGCTCAACAAACGAGAAGAATGACGTCTGCTATAAACTCCTCAAAAGCGTACACGTTGTGGTTTGTTGTGGTTGCGGCAGCCCCTTGTCACACCTTGGATTTGCAAGGGGGCTCTTAGGATTAAAGACCCGAAAAGACCCCACGATTCCTGTGGGAGCTTTTTTGCATTTTCCCTGCTGCGTGTCGGGGATTTCGCGGAGGGGGCTGTTCCCTTTATGGGCACACCCCTGTTGTCGGAGTCTTCCGTGAACACGCGAGCCGTAAGGCCTGCCAAGAATGTTTAAACATTTTCGTCGACAAGTGCTTGGCTCAGATACCGGTGCCGCCATCTTTAATGCATGCTTCATGAACCTGTGCGAAGTTTACAGGGGGCTTAGTTGCAGTTCAGGCTCCACAGCGTCCTTTAGACCCTTATGCGCCGAATAGAGCCCTTTGTGGGGGCAGTTATATCGAATGCAAGAGTCAGGCTCAACAGCAGGACGCGAGTCCTTCGCCCTGCCAAGACTCATACCCCAGTGAAGACGTGAGGAGAAAGAAGTTGTTGGGGTCCTGGGTAGAACAGGCTGGTATAGAGTGGGTTCCCATGTGCAAAATCAGCTGAGCTCTAAAGCATCTTATGAATCTGAGCATCCGGAACCGTCAGCCTTCCAAACATCTCCAGTTTTTGTCGAGTCACCAAGCTACAATAAGCGGGGCATCTCCTCAAGCAGGGTGATCAAGCCAGCAGGAGCTTAAGATCTTCATGCCCCCCCCCCCCTCCCCAAAGCCTCTTGCAGCGCCTAACCAGGCCCTGGTAGTTCCTCGCAAGCTTCAGCCACAAAGTCCTCAAAGGAGGTCTTCAGGGCCGTAAACTCATCCTGCAGTCGAGGGCCCCATAAGCCCTCTAAACCCCTGAAAGCCCAAGCTCAGACTCTGCCCTATGCCCTGTGCCCTATGCCTTGCCTCTCGGTCAGATCGGGGCAACCTCGACTTGAGCAGCAACCGCCTGGGCCTTGTTTCGATTGGGACTTGGGTGGCTGTTGGAGGGAGATTCCTTCAGGATGCGGCAGGGTGAAGTTGTTGGACTAGCTTGCGCGCGTCAGCGCGTGAAGGTTGCAACATGGGCAAAAGAGCCAAAAGCCCTGCCGCCCGAAAAGCCGTCAAAGCCCTAGGAACCCTAAAGCCCCAAAAACCCAAAAAACCCTAAAAACCCAAAAGCCCAGAAAGCCCCGATCGACAAGGAGCTGCGTGGAGAAACCCAAACCCCTAAAACCCTAAACCCTTTCGGCCCTACACCCTATAAACCCTAAAGCCTAAACCCTTACTCCTGGCGAGGCCCTCCTGGCATCCCCGGGACCCTGCAGCTCACAGCCCGGGGCCATCGAAAAGGGGGCGGGTTGAGTCAGGTTGAGGGTTTGGGATTTAGGGTTCAGGGTCTAGGGTCTAGGGGTTATTGTCCAGGGCTCTCTCATATCAGAAAGGCCTTCATATATAAGACTCCGTACGATAATATAGGATCCTAAACCCCTAAACCCTAATGAGGGAGCCCTGGGACCCCAATGTAGAGAACCACCCATAGACCTAACCCCTAAACCCTTACAGGGCGTTGTAGAGAGAGCAAGAACTGAGACTGAGACACGTGCACACGCACACGCACACGCACACACACGCACACGCACACACAAACGCGCACGCGTGCGCACACGCACACCCACACACACGCAAACAAACAAACAAACAAACAAACAAACAAACAAACAAACAAACAAACAAACAAACAAACAAACAAACAAACAAACAAACAAACAAGCAAACAAACAAACAAACACACACACACACATATATATATATATGTATACATGTACATGTACATGTACATGTATGTGTGTATATATGCATATATGTAAACCGCTGGGCCGTCACGAAACAGTCGCATCTCGCAAACCTCGTGACTACGCAGTGGCGACCAAAGAAACGTCCAAAGCAACACGATGTCCATCAAGATCCTAACAACCTCAGTCCTTACAAACCGCTTGCGGTCGAGTCTCTGCATGTTTTGTCACTCAGGTCCTAGTCCCAGTCCTGCTGAACGCGCCGCGACGGACGCAAGAGGACGTTATAGGCCACGGGGTGGGATGGTGTGGAGTCTGACCGTTTCTTGGGCTTTGAGTATCTCCTATGCTTCGCCATTTACGGTGTTGACCTTTGTTTCCGCCGGGTTCTTGAAGAGGGAGGTCTTTCGGGCCTTCACACACTACCATTCGCTTAAGAAGCCCCAAAAATCAAAAACATATTCTTCCTTGTAAGCGCACTACAGGGAGAATTATCTTGTGTTTTTGGGGGATTTTAAAGCAACCGCCAGCAAACCCTATACACCGTATACACCCATGGCCTGGGGCCTTCAGCTGAGCAGCCAGAACTGCGACCGCTTCTGTGCGCCAGGTATTGGAACGACCTGGACACTCGGGGATGCCGAGGCGCCAACCCTTAATCAAGTATTACACTGTAACGCATATGAATAGAACAATATTACAAAATATTGGCATAATCATATAGTATAGTATATGAATACAACAATACAATATTACAGTCACATAATACTATAACAATGATCAAACGTAAAGATGTGCTAGTGTAATGTTTCATGATACACTGACACATTGCTATGTTAATATGTTGATCTTTTAATATGTTGACATGTTAATATAGTAATATATTCATATATTCATATATTAATATACTAATATATTAATATATTAATATATTAATATATTAATATATTAATACATTAATATATTAATATATTAATATATTAATCTATTAATCTATTAATCTATTAATCTATTAATATATTAATATCTATATATATATTATATATAAATATATTTATATTAATAATATTAATTATTAATAGATTATAATATATTAATATATTATATATTAAATATTAATATATTCCATATATATTAACATATATATATTTTTATATTAATACCAATGTAATGATATAATGAATAGATTAATGATTATGGCTTAAATATATTAATAGATGGTGGATGAATATCTAATATATTTAATTACATATTAATGTTTATGAATCCTTCATATATAATATATTAATATATTAATCTATCAGTATGTTAATATACAATATATATTAATATATTATATATTAAATATTATTATATATTATTATTTAATATATTAATATATTATATTATATATTAATATTTTAATAGATATTAATATATTAAATATAATACGATTAATATGTTAATATATTAATATATATTAATTATATTTAAGATATTATATATTAATATATTAATAATATATTTCAATATCTCAATATCTCAATATCTTAATATCTTAATATCTTAATATCTTAATATCTTAATATCTTAATATCTTAATATAAAAATATACTAATATGTCAATTTATGAATATATTCACATATTCATGTATTACTATAGCAACATACCAATACAAACTTGCATCTTCATATAGTTGTATCATACTACATTCCTGTAAACATATCACAACAGTACCATATAGTCATGTGGTGTATTCTTAAAGTAATATGAAAAACAATTGTTTGTTTTAACGTCTTTGTTTATAATATGGCTTTGCCTGTATCCCTTCATGGCATCTGCTGACCACGGAGCCCGAAAGTGCTCAATGTACTCCTTACACATACTTTGATACATGAATGTATATATTGGGGCTGGAGCCCTGCTACATCAGGTCACAGTCGAGCCTGCTGTGCTCTCCAAGCTCAAGCGGCTCGCCGCGCAATCGTGGGAGTTGGGGGGGGGTTTGCTTTGTGTGCGCGCGTTTCATGTAGCCGGGCGCTGATGAAGGGTGTTTGGCCGCGCTTCTCTCGTGTGGCTTTTGGGTGCTGTATTCCTAAACCCTAAACCCTAAACCCTTTTGAAGTGTCGCTTCTTAAGGATCGCAAGGCAGCTTGAAGAGGACTCAGCGGCAGATGAGGAGGAAGCGGGCGACGTGGGGGGCCCTAGGAAGCCTCGGGGTTGGGGGATTTAGGGGGTTTTGTGGGGTCTTTGGGGGGGTTTTAAGGGGTTTTGGGTTGCTTTCCCGCCCCATTGTCTCTTGTTGTGGGCTGCGATGTGAGCTTCGGTCGTGAGGACGTGCGAGGATGTCTTTGCAATCTTCAGAAACAAATCTTGTGAGCCGACGATTCCCAGATCGCACGGCCACAACACCTTGCCAAAAGGATGCCGCCGCAGAGTATGCACTCAAAAAACACATAGCAACGCAACCGGAGACCCCATGTGAACCAGTGACTTCCAGTATAACGAAGGAAGACAGAACAATCTCACCGTTCCGCAACCAGCCTTCATCCTGTAACTAAGCCCTGTCTCTGAGGTCGCAGCCTCCAGCAGCACCTGCGATAGCTGCGGGATTTGTCTTCAACCCTTCAGCCAAGGCCATCAAAGCTATAGGGAGCGAGTGGGCGCCCTTGCATTTCATAAGGGTTTGATGGGGTATAGAAGGGAAATGTAAGGGTTCCCTATCAAGGGACCATGTAACTACCCGGCCTCTAGAGTGTGTGTGTGTGTGTGTGTTTTTGAATGGGACTTTCATCAACAGGGGGCCTTGAGCACTCTGTAAGCCCTATAAACCCTTTACAAATCCTTCACACAAACCCTCCAAGCTCCAACCCTCTGCAGGTGAGGAGCTCACAGCTCTCCCCTGTGCCACAGACCTTTGCCCCTCCGCCCGGCAGCCGAGGGAGCAAGGGGGCAAGGGCGGCGGAGCGCACCAAGGTTTAGGGTTTCTAGGGTTATTTGAGTAGTTACTTATCAGGTATATGGTTGTCTTCACTTGACGCCCGAATTCTGTGGGAACCCCTTGCACATGGGTTCGGGTGGCGACCGGACAAGCTGTCCTAGTTAGGGGTTCGGCGGCCTTGGGCGGATCATACCAAGTTTTGCCCGCCTCGCAGACACTCATCCCAGCGCCTATGCTATTGAGTTTGCTCAGATCGCCCGGGGCGAATCGAAGAGCTTGAGCCTACGCGCCAAAATCGAGCCTTACTAAAAACTTACTAAAAAAAGATGCCTGCGAAACCCTAAATCCTAAAACCTAAACTCTAATCTCTACATCCGTCCATTCACATGCTCCTAGGTCTGGCACGCGGAGTGTGTCCGGAAGTGGCTGTGCCAAGGGCAGGGCGGCCCTGTTTAAGCGAGGGTTGCACCTACTATAGCCCCCTTAGGAATTCTTTGTATTTGTATAAAGCCCAGAGGAAGATTAAAAACAATATTTTTGTTAAGGTTCTAAAGGGAGTATGGCCTAGGCTCCGGTCTTTTGTGGGGGAGGGTGCCCGGCGTTGAACTTGCGGAGTTGCAACTGCAAGTGTGAACGTCGTTCTGGGGTGTTCTCAGCCAATCATCGACCTTGCCTTGGTAGTTAGAGCCGAAGCTTGACTCGGTGGTCTGTATGAGCCCTTGAGCTTTCATTCTACAGTTTCTAAAGCCCAAGCCCGGCACACCTCTCCACAAAGCGCCAGGCACACTCCCACTTGTCCGCTGTGTCGGTCTACAATCGAACTCACCAGCGAATCAGGCGGGGAGCGCAACTAGACTCAGGGTCGGAGTCATCGGAGTCGCAGATCCTTGCAGAGACTTGCAGCCTCGACTCCGTATGTGCTCAGGTGCAAGTGCACAAACGAGCTCCACTCCATCTTTTGCTCTAGAGGCGCTCCAGATTATGCATGCAGTTCTTGGGGGGTTTAGGTCCCGTTCTTTTTCCGGCCTTGTTCTATAGGGTTGGACCTGATCTCTCTCTCTCTCTCTCTCGGCTGTGTTCAGGGCCGATGGCTAGGGCTGACCTCCAAGCCTGTAGAGGCTTCAAGTTCATGAAACAAAGAAGTGCGGTGGGGCGTTTGGGGCTTAGGATCTGTAATCCGTGCAGCTCCCAGAGAGGCAGAGCTCAGTCAGAAGTCGTGGCGTGCGATCAAGCACCACACGGACACCCTGAGCCGCCCTCAAGCATAATCATAAACGTTTGGTCCGCACCACCTTATATCTGGTTTACCCACGCCCTACACATCAAGCCCTCCATTTCTAGACCCGACAAACGGCTCCAACCCGAATTCAGAAGTACCCTGCTGGCCCCCCACCCCCCCACCCCCCCCCCTCTAAGCCTCTAAGCCTCGCAAAGTGGCGCCTGAGCATCAAGGTGAGGGCGGCCTTGCCCTTGTCAGCAACTTCAGGCCGGCTCAACGCGGAGCTTGTCTTTTCTTGGTTTGTGTTGTTTTTTTCTGCAAGTCTACGGGTTAATATGAAGCTGTTAGTCAGAAAGTGTGATTGCTCTAGGAGAGCTTGCCCGCCCCGACTCAAGTGAAACAGAAGGCGCCTATGAATCCAAGGGAGAGGAGGGCGGGCGGGGGGGCGGGGGGGGGCGAGGGGAGAGAGGGCTACTGTAAGGTTTTGGGTTGGGATGTTGCCCCTTATACTAACAGTCCTTAACAGGGATTCTAGTACCCCCTGTGATAATACGGACACGTAGTAGAAGGGGGAACATCCCAAGTTCTGGGCTGCAAGTTGAAGGAACCTCGTTAGCATCGGCAGGCCTGCAAGCAGCCTTTTCTTCAGGCCGGGCCTCTGAGTCTGCCCCTGCTGAGTGGGTTTGAGGATTCGACTGGGCGTTTCGGGTTCGAGGCATCCTAGAAGGAATGTACACCCAAGCTCAAAAGTCGAGGAAGCCCCTGGCGTTCTGAGCAAAGAGCGCTTTTGAAGCAAATTGCCGGAAATCTCCATGCCCTGGTCGTTCAGAACGGCGCAAGGCCGCAGCACCTCGAACCAGCTTCTCCAGCAGCTGGGGCAGGCGCCGCCTGCCAATGGCCACCTTTGTCCACAAACGGCACCGTTGTCCTGAAAACCGCTATCTAGCCAAGGTTTGTGGCATCTTATATGCAAAGAAGCAGAGCCCACTCGAAGCTTCCCCCCAAAACAGAGAGGTAGATGTTGGTCTAAAAAAAAGGCCGGCCGTGCCTTCAACCTTTCAGAGCCCTTCAATTTCAGACGGGGTTTCCGAAATTAGGATTACCTTTTTTGGGGTCCTTACTTTAAGGGAATCCTACTATTTGAGAGTCTATTGTGGTGGTGCCCTTGTTTTCGTAAACGCCCAGTGGAGCTCAGGTCCTGCAAGTGCTGGATCTTACGTCAGCCCCCTGAACTGCCAAGCAATTTGAAGCTGAGAAGGTCATCATCCAGGACATTTTGCTCCTGACGCTGTCCCAGCACAACTCACAAGGCCCACAGCAGCGGCGCGCGTGCCATAAGTTGAGGCGTTTTTAGGGCGCAGGGTTTAGGATTTGGGGGATCGGAACTGGGATGGGGGGTGGGAGGGTGAGGGGTTGGGTACTTGGCCAATGAACACACAAGACGACTCAGACATGAACACTCCACATTCGACCTGATCTGCGACCATGAGCTGAAACGTCGAAGCCTCAGCCCTAAGTCCTCCAACATGTACCTTACTTATAAGCTTCCAGCATCAAGAAGCCAGGAGGTTCTTCGACACCTTCTCTGTCGAACCTCTCCTCCTCGGGGTTTGGACCTCAGCGGCTGGTTCGGTGTCAGACGGGGGGAGGGGTTTAGGGTTTAGGGCTTCGGGTTTAGGGTTTAGGGGTTAGGGTTGTTGGCTGACTTTGTGTCTTTGGAGTTGAGGGTTCAACTTGAGCAACGGATGGACACTCATTTCTTTCCCAACTTTTGCTTTCAGATCTTTGGTTCTCGGACACCACAATACCCCGTTATCGCCCGCCAGCAGAACCCTACAGAGCTTTCGGGTTTCGAGGCCTCGCGCGGCACTGTCCAACCTGTCCAACATGTCCACCTCCCCCAAGGGGGTAGGCTATAGGGTTTAGGCCCTAGGAGACTCTAGGGTTTGTAAGAGTTTGTGATTGGCATTGAGGGCAAAGATTACAGGGTGCGGAACAATAAAGGGTTTGTCGGATTCTCGGGGCTCAATGAATAGGGTTTGAATAGACAGGGCTTCTATTTTCATATACACGTATATATACATATATGTAAGGAGAGACTTAGATATATATATATATATATATGCAAACACATATCTTTATCCATATCCTATATCTATAGATATATATATATACATGCAATAAGACATACAGGCGTTGTGGGTTGTTTCGGTCCCACAAGGCTGCTGAATGGCGGGGCCGCGCAAGCCATGACCAGCGCGGCGCTGGCGGACCTGGGAGGTCTTGGATTGGAGGGTTGATTTAGGGTTTGAAGCCCCAAGCCCCAAGCCCCAAGCCCCAAGCCCCAAGCCCCAAGCCCCAAACCCCAAACCCCAAACCCCAACCCTAAACCCCAAACCCCAAACCCTAAACCCTAAACCCTAAACCCTAAACCCTAAACCTAGGATTACAGGGTTTAGGGAGAGAGGAGGGGAGAAGGAGAAGGTTGAAGGGGAGAGGGGCAGGCTGGGGATTCGAGGGCTTTACTACAGAGGGTTTTAGGGGTCTTCTACAGGTGTATGCGACTGATGGGGCTTATAGTAGGGTTTAGGGTTTACAGGGCTGGTAGGGTTCTAGGGGAACCGCATGCATTCCGAAAGGGCTCTTGCAGTGGTGGTGCAGTGGTTCAACATCCCTCTTCAGGGTGCAGCGGAAGCTGTGAACACGACTCCAGGCTGCACCGAAAGAAGACTCCACAAAGTACATCCTTTTAAAGGGGCAACTTAAGCGTCAACCCCCCAGCCCAAGCCTTCCCCAACAGGCTTGCTGCTGCGCAGCCTCACGGCCAACGGCACTTTGCCGGTGACTTTGAGTGCTGTGGAAACCTGGGGGCCAGGCCGGGGACGGGAGAGACTTTCGGGCTGCACTCGCCAGTGTGCGCAGACGCGATGGGGTCTGATGGGGCTCTTGGGGAGTTTTCGGGTTCATGCAGAGAAGGGCCTTATACGGCTCGAAATTAGATTGGGGTGCGCGCGTGGCGCTTGCGGCCGGTTGCATTCGATTTCGGTTGGCTCGCCAAGGACGGTAACCCCTCTCAGTGTGTTTGGAGGAGGATGCATGTAGCCCTCTCTCTCCAGGCGCAAAAAGCAATCCATCTGGCCGTCCTGATTCGCGAACTTAAGCTCTCGGTAAGCCGCAGGATATCAACATCCGAAATCCGAATGAACCGGTTTGGCTTGCCGCGAACAAGAAGCAGCTGCCAGGATCATCCAGGGAGACGGAGAATCGAGGAGCATCTTCGCTGGGGCCCCACAGCGTTTTTCCGGAGGGGGGGGGGAGGGGTGAGTTCGTGATGACCATTGCCGCACAGTGTTGGTTCAGGTTGTTATGGTTTGGGTGCTAGGGGGTGGGGGCATGGTTAGAAAATGGAAATTGCTAACTGGGCCAGGGGGGGAGGGGGGGCGGGGGGCGTGGCAACGGAGCTTCCCTGAACCATCGGAATGGGTAAGGCTACAAGCTTCTCCCACTTTTACAGTTGAGGTGATGTGTACGACTCAGCCTGACTAGATTACGCAAGGACGGCAATGAAATCAGGCCCCGGCACCTGGCATGTGTGTCTCATTTGTATTTTATGGGTACCCTTCCAAGCCGTAATGTATCCTAAATCTGGAACACGCTCGTTCCACGTGAGCCTCTCACCAGGGTATAACTAGGGTTGGGCGTTCGGGTTTGGGGGGAGAAGAGGGGGGGGGGGGGTATTCTTGGTAGCTTAACCTGGCTGGGGCTCATATAAGCAACAGAATGTCAGAATGTGGGAGTTGCAACGGGCATGGCCTTGTGGGGCCCTTCCGCTCGGGCTCTTTTTTGCATCCTGGAGTTCTGCAGACACGGAGTCTTTGAGAAGGATGTGGGGGTTGGGGCTTCGACATATCAAAAAAACTGTCCCAGCGTAGCCATAGAATTCACATCCGCAAGTACATCTCAGGAATTTGAGGGTGAGGCCTGAGGGGGGAGGGGGGTACCCTAAACCCTAAATCCGCAACCTATAGGTGACATAACGACACGCCACTAAAATGTGTCAGCTCCCCTTTCAAATCCCAGGTCCGAGCTCTGGGGTGGCAAAGGCCGAAGCGGGCGAGGTGGCACCCTTTGTGCTTTTTTTGCAAAAACAGGGTTTAGGGTGTAAGGGATCTTAGGATTTAGGATTTAGGGTTTAGGGTTTAGGGCGTCTTAAACGGAAGCGCGTTTTGTGAGCGCGCATTCTTCTGCAAACCCACCCCCAAGACCAACTCTCATGGAGTTAAGGCCTTCTATTTATTCACAAAGCAACATGTGCTCTGCACGGTGGTTTAGACGAGCTTGATATGAAACACGGGTCGCCTGGAGCACTTGGGACACTTGGGTCGCTTGGGGTCATGAAATACTTGGGGGACTGGGAACACTTGGGTTACTTGGATTACTTGGGACACCTGCGACACTTCGGTCGCATGGGACGCTTAGGATGCGCGTGCCTGGGTCGCTGGGGACACTTCGCTCGGTCACTTACTTCCAGTGGTGCCTTATGGGGCACTTGGGTCATTTAGGCGACTTGGCACCTGTTGGGAGGGGGGCCGAGTTGTGTTCGACGTCAGCATTTGATGAGCAAGGAGTCTCCGCAGGGTGCAGTTGCGATGTGCCGATATCAGCGGGCTTTAAATGCTAAAGGTTTACGAAGTTATGTCGGTTTTGTGCTTGAGCAGCATGGAGCCCACTTCTCGACATTGGTTGATGGTACATATAGAGCCTTGTTGAAGTGGGCGGGGATTTGAATTGGTGCACTCCAGCCTCTGGAGAAAGTTATGTCCCACACACTATTTGCTTGAGATTTCCCCACCCTGAGACAGCTCCAACACCCTAACGATCATTTTAGCATCACCGCGCAAGCTGGCTGAAACATCGTGATGTTACCGCCACCAGGCCACAGCAAAGGCCGTGGCAAGGGTGAGCGGCGGGGCAAGGCGCCACAGTGAAGCCACTGGTGTCACGGTCAGGGTTGTTGTGGACTGCCGGGTTTCGGTCTACACAAGATGCAATGCAGGGCTGGCAGTCGCCTTCTGTTGCAGCACATGCTTCATCTTAAGTCTCCATATGTGCAGCATTGTGCAGCTGCGAGGGGGGCCACCAGGGCCACAACAACGCCGCACGCGAGGCGCCTTCCATTGTGTGGCAGCGTTGTCGCAGGTTCGGTTGAGGTGGAGGGGTTCATTCGGCTTCAAGGAGTTTATATTGTGGATGCCGAAGAGTTGTGAACAGCCTCCAACCAACCTTCGGCAACCCTACACCCGGAGACACCTGGAGACAACTCACAACTCAAGGAGAAGCAGCAGGGCGCTCTCCATCGATCTCCCCTTTTCAGGGGCAGGCTTGAACAGAATGGTTCCTTCTTACTTCCCTTAAAATCCCCTTTTTGTAATCCTTACGAAGCCAGAAAACAAAGCATTTTTCTAAGGGCCCCCCAATGGCCCAAACCTCCCCAAGTCTTCTCTCCACAGGTCGCCCAGAGACAAGACTACTCGGCCTCCAGTCGTCCCCGCTCGGCCGGCACCGTGTTCAGCCAGTTCTCAGCCATCCCCCCCCTATCCCCCCCTTTTGAAACCCGTGTATTCAAATCTTTGTAAACCCTTTGTGTAAACCCTTTGTGTAACCCTTTTTCAACCCCTTAAACGCCCCGTTTAAACCCTGGCAGAACTCTCAAACACAAAAAGTTGGGGGGCCTTGATGCTTGCCATGTGAAGAGTGAAGCAGGGGTGAGGGGTTGTAGGGATTCCTCAAGACGTCGTCATCTAGATCATGGGTCGTTTGGGGTCTCGTTTATGGCTCCTTCTAGTGTAGGGCCCTCAGAATAGCTTCAGATTCGCGGTGCTCTTAGACGTAAGGGCACTAAGTGATATTGTTCAGCTGTCGGAGATTGGTACACCTCGAGTCTCAGCCCCTCCCTGAAGAACTCCTAAACCCTAAACGCTAAACCCACTTTGGCCGAAACCCTCCCTAAAGAACCCGAGACCTGCGCTCTCTTCTCGCTGCTTTCGGCCCAACGACAGGGAGCATGGGTTGAGGGGTGAGGGGCAGGGCTTGGTTTTTGAGGGAGCCTTCTAGACATGTTTTATTTCGAGTGGGGGACGCTTCAGCCTATGACTGTATAAGCCCTGAACCAAACACAGGTCTCTGCAACCTATCTATCGAACTACGGCCAGTGAATCCCTGAACCAGCAACACAGCCAGACGCAATTTGCCATGTTGGAGACTCACACGCCTCTTTAAGCGGGGCAGGGCTTGGGAAGGCTTGCGTCACATTCGTGCCACCCATGTCCTGATGTCCAGTTGTACCGCTGCAGGACAGGGGGGCTTCGGCGCATTTCGGGGACTGCATGTGCTCATGTCGGTTCTTAGGGATTGCGGGTCGGGGCCTCGAGATTCATTCAACACTGCAACGAGAGAAGCCTGCCTTCTCTCTTCACCTATAGAACCACAGAACCCAGTCCATGGACATGGAGGACGCAGCATATCCTGGCATGGCTGCTGCTGTGACAAGGATCAGGACCAGAGGGTTATGGGATTCTTTGGGGCTTACTTCACGGAGTGCCGCAGCAGCCATGGATAATCGCAGCTGGCATCCTATTCCACCAGCAGCCGTGAGGGGTTGACTGGCGCGCTGCCACGCATCTCGTTTTGTTCGGGAGGGTGTTTAAAGGTGGCGGGAAGGGTGAGGGGTTTCGGGTGGGGGGGGGGCCCCCCCCGTGAAGCATGAAACAGGTCCTTCCATCAAATTGGCATTGCTCCTTTCCCAATCCCGCCCTACGCGTTGCGTGCTCTCTCCCCAAACCCTAGCGCCCTGCCACCCGACGTGACCCCCCCCTCAGAAACAGAAAGCAACAACAATTGCTATCATGCTGTCAAAGTCGTGGATTCCTTGTTGTTTGTGGAGCTGCAAGGACACTATAGGCTGGCTCGCGAACTGCGGTTCACAAGCCAGCGTGGGCCCATTTTGTGTATGGTTGTGACACTGTTGTGACCATTTTCTTCAACAAGCGCGCGCCCCACAACCCTCCGAAGCCGAAGCCACGATAAGCATCACGAAGTTCGCTACGAAGGAGGGGCAGCCGCTCCCCGAGCTGATTGCCGTAGAGGTGGGAGACCTTTTTTGTTCTTTTACAAGCGTGGGCTTTATGAAAAAAAGGGGGCGCTAAATATGGAATTCGGGTTGAGCAACGACATCTTCGGAACCTCGAGCTCGAAGCTCGAAATCAAGAAATTCAACCCCCAAAGCGTGGTGGGGATGCGGAATGTAAATGTATGTTGTGGCGCTCTCATCAGCCCTGAAACAGGACAGAACAGACCTCATTCGTTCCTCTTGAACTCGAGAATGCAGTGTACCGCTTGAGGTAAGCTTAAGGTGGGCTAAGGTTAAGTTACCAAGGGGCTATAGCGGCTATGGCCGTAGCGCTTGAAATTGACTTGAGGTGCCGCCCGACAGTTCGTGGGCCAAAGTGGAGCTGGAGATCCAAGAGCCGCAGGCACTGACACGCGGACTGAGACTGAGAGACATGCGCACGCGCCAAAGCCCGCACGCACCCTGACACTGACATACTGGCTGCAACTTGCGCAAACTGCCCGACCCATCGTCAGTCGTTGAGATGAAGTGGCCTTATGATAAATTAGTCCCGAAAATCAAGTCCTGAGTATGGCGAAACGTGTGCTCAGACGCGGATAGCTGACCGACGCGCGCCAATCGTCCCAGACTCGACGGAAGTCTGTGCTCTATAACTCTATACAGCTTGTACGCCCCTCTTCTTCTTGTGGGGCACCCGTCAGGAGAGCCAGACCCTCACTGAGGAGGAGGTCCACGCCCAAGACTTGCACAAGGGAATCGTAAAAGAAGTTGACAAAAATGGTCACACGAGGCAACTGTTTCAGGACCCGCACAACTCTGTCTCCCCTTATTCCTTATTCCTTAGCCCCAAACCCTAAACCCTAAACCCTAACCTTCCCTAAAAAGCACCGCTCAGGAGATTACGCGGAGCAAGCGGCGCCTGACGACGGCAGATAGAGACGGCTCCGCGATGGCTTGGGATTCTGTAAGGTTTTGGGGTTCAGGGTTTGAAGGGATTAGGGGGGGAGGGGGGTGTAGAGTTAAGGTTACTTCATGGTCCTTGGGTTGATGGGTTATGTTGCACAGAGCAAGATTTATCGTCCGGATGTGAGTTCGTATGCCCTTGGCGTCACCTTGCGGCATCGTCCACGGTACTTACATGGGCATTTCCCAAAATAGGAGTATACCCTTTTTATACCCCAAATAGAACAGCGTGTGCTTGAAGGGACCCCCAAAAGGGTACCCGTATTTCGGAAACCTTCACATGGAATATCGCGGTGAACGCTTAAGAACCCAAAAGCTACGTTTTAAGAATCCTAGAAGGGTTTCTGAGTATTCGAAGAACCTACAAAAAGGTAGGTTTTAGGTTCTTAGGGTAGGCTTAAGATGCGTCTTTGGCGTCGTCTGCTGCAGCCTAGCAAGTTTCGGCGTGGCTTGTCGCGCTTTAACTTTGGCAAAAGAGCCATGACCTCATGACTCGTGACTCAAGTTCAACCCCGAAGCTGCCCCGCCCCCCCCAGGGTCTGCCCTAACATGGCCTACTCCCTCGCAGGCTCCAATTCTGGGTCCATGCTGTCGATCACTCTCAGGGACGAAGCCTTGCCACTCGCTCCAAGTGTATGTGGGTATCATGGGTTGCCATACTTCTAACCCTTTTTAGGGTATTTACAACCCTACTTATATAACCTGGAGGTATGCTGAGGATTGAAGAAATCGGTTCAACTTTGCGCTCGTTCGGCGTTTGTGGAAGCTGAAAGGTTGAGCCTCCGTCGCTTAAAGCAGACAACGAGTTGGTCAAAGGAGTGGATTTTTCTTGGCATCTGAGTTCAAAAACGTGGTTGAGGCAACACGAACCCCTCACATCTGTGGACACAATCGCCAGCCGGCGAGCCCCCCGGGAAGCTCTTAGAGGCTCACCACAGGCGAGTGCCGTTTTTGACTCAGAAATTTTCGGGGCCAACGCATTTTTTCAGAAATCATCGGGTCCAACGCCCTGCCAACTTTAATAAGGGTATATAAGGGGTCCCGATTTAAGGGCCCATATTCAGGGACCATGTAGCTGCCCTTAGACAACTCTCCCGCGGGAAAATGGTAGGCATCTGAAGCTCAGCAACAAAAGGCCCAAGTTGGCCAAGTTTTAGTCTGCGGACTTCGCACAGCATGGTCTGAGTACCAATCTCGAGTTTCCGCCCTAAACCCTGTGAACCCTATAAACCCTGCAAACTCTGCGGCATTTTTGTTTGGCAGGGAGGCGACGACAGCGAGGCAACAGCTTCGACGGTACCCAAACAAGACAGAGAACCCCTCTCAGGGGGTTCTCTCTTTTTCTACTCGTTGCTTAAGGGGCGCCCCAGAATAAAGAATGAAAATCCTTCTGTTGCCCTATAAGGGAATATTTCTAATCTTTTTTTGGGGCGGTTCTTGAGCAACTAGTAGTTTTAAGAGTTGAAGGATTGTCCATATGCGGGTTTCCGAAAAATAGGGCTACCCTTTTTTGGGGGGAGGGGGGGGGGGGGTTCCTAAAGTAAGGGTTGGGGTTTTCTTTTGGGGTCGGGTTTTCTCGGGCCCATCCTAGTATGAGGGGAAAGACGTTCGAAGTTCGAACAAACTTAAGGCAGGCCCTGGCATTGTGGGCTTAGGATTTAGTGTTTAGGTTTTAGGGTTTTGGGGGGCAGTTGAGCCAGGCCCCGGCCCTATGCAAGTGACCAGGTTACGCGCCACCGACATCGGCCACGTGGTGGCGTGGGGCGGCTACTGTCTGAAAGCCGCGCCTTCAGACCTTACCCCCCCCCCCCCCCCCCCCCCCCGTCCAAAACAGAGGAAACAGCACCCCACAACCCCCCCACCCCCCATCACAGATCCGGGTGAGCTCTGTCTTATGATTCATGATGCCAATTCGGACAGAGGCCATGAGCCTCCTGGACCATGCTCTCACATTGGACAAGGCAGCTGGCTCTTTGGCTTCTGTGGCTTCGTGTTGGCTCTGTACTTTGTCAAGCCAGGGAATCTGCATTCCCCAAATCCCCCGCAACCCCTCACGTGTCGGAGCACCAACTCCAAGCGCCAACTCATCACAACACAATAAAGTAAATGGAACATCCCAGACCAAACTCCCCCTGAGATTCGGCGCCCTGAAATGGTCTCGATTCTAACTCCCCCCCCAGATGTGGGCTCTCCCATTCTCCAATCATTCTCCAATGGCAATCATGTGCAGGCCGCAGCGATGTTTGCGAAGTCGCGGGAGGTCACCGAAATCGATTACTTCATCAGCCCCATGGCAGACGATGAAAGATTAAATTCGAGGTATTCTTTTTGCTCCCGTGTGCAACCTGCCCGCCCCGCTTGGCTCATTGAGAACTCGCCCCTACAAGGTCCTTGGCGCCCTGCGCCTCTTAAGAGCTCAGGGTCGCCAAGAGTCCTTTCACTCCGTGTTGAAAGAGCAGATTGCTTACTGCGCAGACGAAGGAATTTCAGGGGTCTTTCAAAGCAGGCAGACGGTTTCCGCCATATCTCTGAGGTCATTGCTGGATGGATGGAAGGTTTTCCAAGGTCTGCGCTCTCTGGATCCATAGCCCTCCGGCATGAATTCCCAGTGCTCTGAACCGGGTTCGTGACAGCGAAGGGTTGGGTTGGGGCAGTTGAGGGTATGACTCGGTATATCTCGGTAGAATTGAGTTGGAGGGAATCGGGGGGGGGGGGGGGGGGGGCCGGCCGTCGTCAAGGAACTTCCCAAGCTAACTACACATTGAGTTTCTTGAGATGACCGAGATCAAACACGGGATTCCAGCCTGCAAGTCGCCATTGTGCTGGTCACGTTTTGAGGCAACCTCATCGGCGCCTTCGTCGCCTCCGCCTGCGTTGCCCTCACCGCTGCCTTCCTGAGAGGGGCTGGCTTGCTCCCGGTAGCTTGGTAGATTTATGTGGTTTTGAGTTTGCTACTGGAATGGCCCTCATGGTTGGTCCGAGCCTTTAGAGGTTTCGAGATTCGCAGGCTTGGATGGCGACGGGTGCAGGTGATTTCTGATGTTGTTGCCAATAGTGCACTTGACCAGCCACATGTGCTGATCCGCTTCGGGCGGTGTGGCACTCGTCCACAATTCATTCAACCCAATCGGTCATGAATGTATCTCCTCATCGTCCCCCTCGCGCCCCCCCCCCCCCCCCCCCCCCCCCCCCCCCCCCCCCCCCCCCCCCCCCCCCCCCCCCCCCCCCCCCCCCACCCCCACCCCCCATCCCCCCCGCCCCCACACCCCCCATCCCCCCACCGTACTCGTAGCACTGCCACTACGACGACGACCACGGCACCTCACCGCCCATCAGCTGAGGTAAGAACCACAGTGAATGTGTCGGACGTGAACAGTGTTCCCTATGCTCCTTGTCTGTGAATCCGGGGTGCAGGACTTTGTAGGACTCAGATGTGGCGTTTTGAAGGGCTGATGTCACAAATGCTTGGGCATTAGCCCCCCACCCCAAAGCCAAAAAGACCCCCGAAAACTCCGAATCGTGCACCAACCCCGAAAAATTGTAAAACCCTATAAAACCCTTAAACCCCCACATAAACCCTACAAAACACCTACAAAAACCCCATCAACACCCTGTAAAACCCCACACAACCCCTATAGAACCCCCCAGATAAACACCACAACTCTAAGACCAAAGCCCTGAACCCTAAACCCTAAACCCTAAATCCTCGAAGGCCTTGGCACTTGGAATCGTCACCTTCTTTTGGGGCCTGGCCTTTTCGTGCCTGACCAAGAGGGGGTGTGGTTTCATGTAAGGTTTAGGGTTTCGGGTGTAGCGCTACCAGGCAGGGTGGGGGTTCGGGGGTTCGGCAAAGGGAGGCTCCAAATATAGAGGTCGGAAAATTATTACTACTAGTACTCCCTCATGGTCCCTAGATGATTATACTTATTATGCTGTCACCAACCCTTAAAGCCCTATTCTAATTATTTAGGCCCCTATATGACTTTCTTTCCTGAGTGAAAAGCTGTGATACACTCAGCTGAGCGATCCCCCGATTTGGAGTTTTAGTGTGGGCTGGTACGGCTTTGTTGGAGAGAGCAGGTCTTTACCACAGGCTTGCGGGTTTGGCAGGAATTCGCAGTCCATCGATAAATGCCGTGGAGGTGTCTCCGGGGTCCTTGCTCGCAGAGTGTTGAGGGGCTTGGGGCGCTTGAATCCAGGCCCCGCTGTTTTCTGCGCACGTGTGTGAGAGGCTAGGTGATTGATTTGGTGGTGATGTTTGACTACGATATGGTGTGTCGTGGCATATTTTAAAGTCATGCCGCTTGCTTGCTTCATTGATGTCACATGCTTTACAACTACTCCATCACTGCATAAGTCGAGGTAGCTGTCAGAATTCGTCCTTCACCAAGCTTGCTTCTGGCCGCGCAACCCCCAAACTTCGCAAATGAACTCAATCCCTGAGCCTGTACATCCTATGAGCCATAGTTCAAGATGCAATTGGGGTTTGGGGTTTACTGTTTATAGGGTTTATCGGGTTTATAGGGTTTATAAGGGTTTACAGGGTTTTAGGGTTTAGGGAAGCCGTTCAAGAGAATGCCGCAAAGGCACTACGTGTCGTTGGCGCTTGGCCGGCGGCACAGGTGGAATGCTTAAAAGCTTCACTTCCGTCGCCCAAACTATGGAAGTTCTACAGTACTAGAGTTCTGGGAGTATACATTCATTCCAATTGCCTTCACAACAAGGTGATAAACCCTCAGGATGTGGTACAGCTTTTGAGAAACTATCCCAACCCGACATGAGTTCTGCTGATTCTGGAAGCGCTGCATGAACCTAAATGTCCGGAAACACATCAGCGATAAAGTGAGATGTCGACGCGGCAACAGGGTGTCTGGAGATTGGCATTAGGAGCTTCACGTCTTGGGCTAAAGAACCTTTGGCTTCTTGGTGGCCACCCGCAATCAGACTTCAGCTTTGCTTTGGGACTTTGGGGGGTTTCGATCCAAAGCAGCATCTGGCAGTCCGTAAATAGGAGTACCCTTGTTGCGGGTGTCGTTGTAAGGGGATTCTATTCTATTGCGGAACGGGGTTCCCCCTTTTTTCGGAACAAGTACCATGAACCTCCAAGTTCTCAACTCAAGGCCTTGAAAAGAGAGAATGGGCATATGCATCCCCAATAAGGTACCCCCCCCCTCCAATTTCGGAAACCTCCCGGTTTTTTTCCAAAGGTATGCCTGATCCTTGTAGCATCAATGGCTTGAAAGAGGTACTTCTTCGACAAGTTCTGCGTCCAGCAGATGGACCCCGAAACGAAGAAGCAGCTCTGTCAGCTCTGTCGAAGGGTTTAGGGTTTAGGGTACCACTTCTACCACTGCCTCTGCTTGCCATGACATTTAGTGATGGTGCCAGGTACAAGGTAGCCAGCTGTTGAGCATGCCTTCCTCCGAAGAGTTGTCAAAATGAGCATAGCAAAGCTGCTGATGAGCAAAGTGGCCAAGGGGTCGCCAATGGCATAATGGCTTGGGCTTGTTTACTGCCTACCTGAGCCCAGCCTGTCGTTGTGCATGACCCTATACTATACTTACTATCTTGAACTTCTCTGGGCCACAGTAACCCACCATACTGCCCTAGCACTGCCTGTCTCTGTTTCTGTTTCAACCTTGGGCGGCCAGCCCGAAAGAAAACAAGGGTCAAAGGGCCCTGCAGCGCCAGCTCCAAGAACCCCTGAACCCTAAGCCCTGAACCCTGCGAAAAGGCCAGGCCCCAAAGAAGGCGAGGCTTCCCAGAGCCAAGGCCTAAAGCGGGGGGGGGGGGATTTAGGGGGTTTGTGGTGCTTGTCTGCTCCGAAGGCAAGCTGTGGCGTCCTTCGGCGCCTTCGTGCTGCTCGAACCAGTGGGCAGTTTCGGAGGGCATTAGGGTTCCGAGCTTCTCATAGCAGGTTTGGATTGCTGGGACGGTTTAGGGTTTACGGTTTAGGGGTTAGGGTTTGAAGTCTGCAGAGGAGATCAGGAGAGGGGAGTCAAGAGTCTTTTTTGAAAAGCTTTTTCTTCGGCCTTCAGTGGCTTTCGTGGCATCGAGACACGGGCTTCGAGTAGGAATTCAGTGTCCCGGAAAGTTTCCGCAGGGTGTATGGTAGAAGGGCAAGCCCTAAACCCCAAACCCTAAGCCCTAAACCCTCAGCCCTAAGCGGGGAAATCCTCTGAGCTCTGTGTTGTGAGGCACCGCTCAAAGCGCTTGCTGTTGCTTTGGAGCCTCTTGGCAGTTGATGTGTCAGAGTGCCAGCCAACTGTTGACTGCCATGTTGCTAACCCAAAACCCTATACCCTATACACCCTAAACTCTGAACCCTAATAAAACCCAAATTCGACCCTAACACTGAGCCGTAGAATGCTACACCCCTCAATGTCAGAGCTGATTGCACCCCTCGTTGCTCCTACTCAGCCAGTCCATAGGGGCCGACAAACTCACGGAGTGCACGCCATCTGCGCCAGGTCCGAACTACTTCTCGAGGCTTTGGTGCACACTAGCGACTAGTCTGTACTTGCACACTGTTTTTTTTGGTAGTGCTAAGTTCTGCGAATTGTTGTAAGCGGCCTTAAGATTTTCAAGCGGAATCTGAAGAACAGTTCAGGAGATTGCGGCGCTCGTCAAATGCAAGAGTGCCTCGGCTACAGTCGAAGTCACCGAGTGGCCCTTCAAGTGGCTTTTTCTGCGTAGACTTGGATTGAAGTCACGTGCTCGAGCAAACACACATCCGGCGCCCAATGCATGCGACCCTTCTGGCGTTCGAGAGGTTTGGGCGTTACGCATGTTTCAGCATGCGCTGGGTTGCAGCGTATATGCCACCCGATGGAAACCTTCTTTCAGTCGAACGCCCCCTATCACGGCCTCATGGCATCGACAGCCAAGGCATCGAAGGCAGCCAGGATCAGAAACTGCCTTTGGATTTTCTCCCGCTTCCCCTGGCAAAGGCCAAGGGCTGCGGGGGGGGGGGGGGGGGGAAAAAAACCAAGCGTCGCACCCTAAACTTGCGGTAATGGACCCCCCCCCCCTATCCTGGAAATGTCTATTCCTTCCATCCATAAATCTTAAGCTGCCCCCTTTAAATTCAAAGAAACGACGCCCCCAACTTTGCAAGTCATATGAGCCCCTGCATCCAGAGCTGCTTCCACGACGTGGCTTTGATGCCTCGAATGGTTACACACACACACACCTTCGCAGACAAAAAAACCGTGCTTGTAAAGCAACAGCTCGGTGAACTCGGCAGGTAAGCTGTTCTGCCTGGCTGGTGTTCTCCTCCATCTATCTGCTGATACAGTTTTGGAGGCCGGCAAGTGTTGGGTTCGAACATAATCTTAATTTCGTTCTTGCACTTATTATCCCGATATAATCCTTATTGAGCCAGAACTTGTTTTTCTTCTTTTTATAGGGCCCCCCCTCCCCCCCACACACCTGCCCCAGTTCCGAGGATTCTGCCATGAAAGGTTTCAACATCCTTGTTTGCTTGTTCAGGCGATCTGGTGGGCTGGAGGTATTTGCATTCAGCAGCACCGCACAACTACCATCCTCCTTAACCTGAGAAGTTGAACCCGCACTTCCCCCCCCCCCCCCGAACCGCCACGAGATTCGAAGCCGCCGCATGTACGCCCTAACCCGAAGCCCTAAACCCTAAACCCCAACACTCTGTCTAGCCCTTTGGGCCACAAGGCTGTTGGACTTGAACACGAGCATGATCGACCTTGGCATCACGCGACCCAGATGTGGAAAAACATGGGCTTGAAGTTGAGCAGCTTGCGAGGGCCGGAGGGTCTTCTAGGCAACCACCATGGGTCTGAGGGTTGTTCGAGGGCTCTTTTTTTGGGGGGATTCCTAAATATAAATCCACCCAAAAATTCAGCCAAGTCGACGATTGCAGCCTCCAGGGCTCCAGAAATTTTTCATTTTTCGGCGTTCGGGCAAGCGATTCTTAGGGTAGAGCCCAGGGTCGCAGACTGAAGCCGCTAAGTGCTCGGCACCCCTTAGTCCAACCCCCCCCCCCCCCGCCTAAACCCCGCGACTCGTCCCAGGTTTGTGGTGTCCGTGACCTCGATTTACGTCCTGGTGGCGACGCTCCGGGCACCCAGGCAGAGAAGAAGAGGGCCGTAAAGCAGATCCGAGTGGTGGGTATCAGCCAAAACTGGAGGTCAAGAATGCAGGAGCTTGCGGCATAAGCATTACATGGAAACGGAATTTCCCCCACATTGATGAAACCGGAGTTTCTCCTGATGATGTTAGCCACCATATGTTCTGAGCTGGAGAATGGCGAAATCCTCGACCGCAACAGGAAATGCAAAATGAGCCACAACCGGTAGAACCACTGAACATACCAGCACAACTCGCGAGGATGGGGCCCAGGCAAGCGGGGTGAATCCCATGATTGACTCCTCTTCCCGGCTATGCGCGAAGTGGGTGGCCGGACTTTTTGGCTTGCTAGGACGTGCAGTCACCGAGCAAGGCTTGTGCAAGTTTCTGAACAAAGGGGGTGTTCAATATGCCCCGAGCACATTGGGAGTAGGGCCGTGACTGCTTCACCCAGGCAACTCTGAAGCATTCGCTGCAGCCTCCGTGTGCGTGTGTGTGTGCTTAAGTGTTTACAAACTTCGTCCAAGGGGGTGGGGGGCCGGGGGGGGGGTTCACCGCAACCGGGACTTCTATCGAAAAGGGAGGAGGGGGGGGGGGGGTTGGGGGGGGGTTGGCGGGGGGGTGGAGGCGTTCCGCTCGGTCTTGAGTCAGAGCAGTCTAGCCCCGGCAACCGCACTCCGAAACACTGTGATTGGAGATGACTCTCATTGTTGAAAGCAACTCTTAAAGCTATGCAAACCAAGGTTTACGCCCGCGACCGCGCGAAGCTCTCGGAGCAGCCCCTCAAGCTCAGGTTTGGGCTTCAGGTTAGGGCTGTGGACACCATGTTCCAACTTTCTGGAGTCTACTGTAGGGCTTATAGGGTTTAGAAAAGCGCGGGTGACCTTTGACGGATGTCTTCAGGGTCTGGCTTCCTTCGCAAAGGCATTGGAGGCATATGGGGGGAGGCTTACGGGCATAAAGGACCCTAATATAGACCACAAATAGTAGGATCCCCTTATGATGGGACGTGTCCTGAACACTTTTTTTATTTTATTTATGATAAGGACCCCAGTAAGGTGCCCCAATATCGTAAACCCCCACATGTGTTCTCATTGGTTCCCCCTCTTTCCGCTGTCCGCACCCTGGCTGTGCCAATCCGAAAGCAGCGCATATGCATGTTTGGTTTCAAAGGTTCCCTTATAAGGTAACCAAGCCCAAAAAAGGGTGCCCTTGTCTTAAGATGGCTACTGGGCTGCCAAGTTTTGCAAAAAGCGGCTGGTAGTAGGCTCTTAGTGTTGAGCCTCCCTGGTAGCCAGCGGAGCATGGCACACCCGAGCTTGGCCTTCTGAGGGTGGGCCTTCTGAGCGTAAGACCTACTTTTGTAGCATAGATGTACAAGAACATAGCAGGTGTGGATTTTTGGATCTAAGGTTGGAAGGCCCTTAGGCCCTTAGTATGGTTCCTTACCCCGGTTTCTAGGGATCCGAAGTATGGGCCCTGGGTATTTGCAGTGAACAAAAGGGTTATATCGCAAGGGACCCACATGAAGGGTCCATACTCGGAGCCTTAGATCAGAGTCTATAGGTCGTGCTTTAAGTCCTGGCGGCTTGCCATGTGGTGGACGAGAGGAGTCAAGAAACGTTTGACATGTACACTGCATGCACATGTACATGCACATTTACATTGTCATGATGTTATAGTGTTGCCATACATTTCCCGAAATAGGGGGCACGGTACCCCGTTAATACCCCAAATAGAGTAGAATTCCCTTAAAGGGACCCCCCCCCCCCCAACAAGGGTACCCCTATTTTCGGCAACCCCCATATATACATATATATATATATATCCATATGTGTATATATATATATGTATGTATATCAGTCTATGAGGCGCGCAGTGAGTATGCCGAATTCCCCCATACCGCAAGAGTCTTTTTGCAGCAGCGCAACCTGCCAAACCATGCACCCAATCTGAGAATCTGAGGCCCGACTGTTTCAGGCCCTGTTTAGTTTTTAAGGTCAATCAAGTCAATTGGAGGCGTGCATTCTAATCGGGATGATCAAGCAGAGATTGTTGGTGATAACCCAGAACAATCTGTTTCATTGCTATCAGGCGCCAAGGTCTGGAAGGTGGCTGGTTCAACTCAAGGCTGCATCGTGAGTATGTAAGCTGTAAGCGTCGGCTTGTCCCCGAAGCTCCCCCCAGCCCCAAACCGTCACGAGCACGAGTTGAGCCGACTCTGAGGTTCTCTGTTGCTTAGGCAGCCCTAGACCCGAAACCCTACAACCCTAAACCAGTTGGCAGACCATGGCACCATGACTCTGAGCTCACCAAGGCTTCTGGACTTCAGCATCGAGAACGCTGAATGCTTCCCCGGCCTTGTTGGCGCATTTTTGCTCTTTGTTAGGCCATTGGAAACGGGATCGGTGCATGTTGTACTGATGAGCGTCGCTTCGTGGTCGCTTTGACCGCTTTTGCCGGGTGCAGCTGGTCATAGGACAGGCGAGCCCCTAAACCCCTACTCTTGCCGCGGTTGGCCTGTCAGCCGTCTGGTCAGCTACCAGTAGCTAGCCCGTCCATTGATTGAGTCAAAGGGGAGGGCCTTTGCCCCCGAACCCCCACAGACCCGAAGCCCCCCCGCAACCCTCAACCCTAGACCCTAAACCCTAAACCCCAAATTCCTGAGATGATCCGAGGTTCCCGTAATGAGGATCGCATCCGCGTGCAACGCAGCTCGGTTGCAGAGAGCTGGTTGTGCTGCTGCCTTCCCGGGGGTTTTTGCTGGGCTCGCCTCTGCTTACGGGGGTTGTAGGGGGACTTGCTGGAAGCTAAGCCGTACGCCTTTTGGCCATACTAAAGCCATGAGAGAGCTTTCTGACAATGGGACGCTTCGGAGTTTTTTGCTCTTCTTTTACCAAACTCTACGTCTGCGATTAGCGGAATCAACGGAGAAACGCCTATAGTGTGGAGCTTGGTAGCCCAGTCGTTTACTCTTTTCCCTTTTTAGGGTTCAAGGTTCCCTCATAAAGCAACGACCCCAAAAGGTTACCCTTGTTATAGTTCGGGGCCTCTGGGCTACCCAGGGAGTGATCAATGTCAGGTTGTGCATGGCACAAGAAGCGCGGGAGTTTGGGGCATCAGCTGAGCAACTTGAGCCCTGCACCACTGAAAGGCACGATGCTGAGATGGTTCAGAACCCTTGAGCAGTGCAATATGTGCCTTGCCTTCAGTGGCCCTTTCATTGGAATGATGGTCTTGGCGCTCTTCAGGGGAATGCGGGGTATGAGTTGCGTCCCATCTGACCTTTTGCGCAGCTCTTGTGATCTCACGTATAACTCGGCCTGCATCTTTCCTGAATCAAAGCGGATACAGATGCCTTTTGTCTGACTCCCGAAATCCGTGCCCCTTGAAGAAGATCACGGCCCATGTCACCCGCTGGAGCAGCAGCCCCTTTTCCTTAGGCACGTGCGAATGAAGGTGCGTGACCAGGTCATGTATACGCGACCTGGCTTGAAGAGACTTGAGAGGGTTGCATTTGGGCGGTGAGGTGGTTTGCCCCACCCTTAACCCCTTGCAACAGTCAGGAGCCCTCCCACCCGCATTCGGGAGGAGCAGATGTTGTACAGGCTGCTCCAGGGAGCTTGCAGGCAGAGCATGGAGCCCGACCGCCGAATCCGACCAGACCAATCCAACCTATCCAACTTCTATCCAGTCCAAATCAGGGTGGAGGCGATTGTTAGTTGAGGTTTTTTGTTGGAAGCGCAGGCTTACGCTCCAATGCTCGGAGTTGGGAATTGAAAGTGGCCGAGCGGACTCTTCCGCGGCGCTCCAGAGTGCTTCATGAATTGCTGCTTTCGTGGTCTGGTCCTCATGGCCTAATGGTCCTTATCTCCTTTCAGGCTTGGCACATGCAACCCTAAGCCCTAAAACCCGAAACGCAAAACCTTCTTGTTTAATTGCTTTATTTGGGTTGGGGGCTCCAAAAGTCCTTCAATTCTAAACTTGTTGTCTGAAGCCGCTATCTGCGCTGTCTGATAAGGCTTGGGCCGGAGACCCACTATCCGACGCGGCTTCTTCTCCCATTGCTGTGGCCACCCGTACTGACTTAAGGGGTTCTTGGGGCCTTAAGGGTTTTAGAGTGCTGAATATTGGGGTCGGAAGAATTAGTAACAGAAATTCCCTTATGGTCCCTACATAGTTATGCAATAAGAACCCCCCCCCAAAAAAAAAAAAAAAAACTGGCCTCTATAGTTAGCCTATTCAATCAGAATCAAAATGGTTTTGGGGGGTACGAGACAATATTGTTATATGGGACGTGATGAGGGTGATCTTGACAGCCAGGCTCTTGCATCACCTCGGGGTGAACTGGCAGACTTGGTGCTCTAGAGTTCCTGTCGTTTCACGCAACCCTAAACCCGAAACCCGAAACCCTAAAACCCTAAAACCCTAAACCTAGTCTCAGTGCCTGAAGGGCCTGCGGACTTTTGGAACTTGCCGTTCAGCATCCCAGACTGATAGACTGCCGGGGGGTGGGCGAGCCGAATTGGGCCTGATGAAGCTGCAGGACACATCTCTTGAATGAGATGGACTACATCGCTTCAGGCTACTATGAGGATGACGCGGCCGTCAAAATCACGATCTTCGCAGGCGCGGGGTGTGATTTCCAAACTGCCATATGAGTTCTGAGTCGAGTTTTTTAACGAAAAGAGGCGCATTCTTGCGAAGAGTCCCAACTGGGCCTCAACAACTCGGAGCTGTACCCCATAGAGGGAGCATCCCATAGCAGGCGGGGGGGAGAGCCCTAGCCCTGAGAGGCCTGCACAAAAAGAAACAAGCTACAGGGAAGCAGGCGAAAGGCAACGCAAGGTTAGGCCTAGCAACCTGTTAGGCAAACACAGATCTATTCATTCTTTGATTCGAGGAGGTGGAAGGACCTCAGCGTCTCCCTTTTGAACCTGGTGTTTTTTGATGTCTCTGTGGAGTCTTTGGCGTACGTGTTCGCCCGAAAGCCCAAATCCTGATAATGCCCTTTGAGAGGACCCATCCTCCCATCTTAGGCCGCAGTCTTGGGGTTTAGGTTTTAGGGTTCAGGGTTTAGAGTTTAGGG